TAGAGAGCTGTTTAAATTTTTGCATTACTGACACTGAATTCTTTGTATATACTAGAAATATCCACTTCGAATAATCATACTTTTGTAAACGGTGATATTCACACGCAAGCTAAAAAGTCAGTTATATTCCCCTTCTTGTAACTATAAGTGCATCCTAGTCTGTTCTCCTGTCCCTATCTTGAAGTTCTTCTTAGCCGTCCCTATAAGTTTGTTAGATCATCTACAGGCAAATAAACGAACTTGAATGGAATCTTCAAAAGAAAATTAAATCCATCCACCGCCGATATGCCCTCATCACCCTGTATGATCCAAAGTGCCGACATAGCTTTATAATAAAAACTTAATTAAACGTAAACTTCCAGGCGGTACTTAACCCACTTAACGCTTCAAGCTGCAACCGTATTTTGTTGATACCATTAAGAGTGATTCATGAAAATAAATATAAGGAAAAGGAATGCCGCTTACGTTAAATACGTTTGATTGCTGCAACACAGATCAATCTGCATGAGAGCTTCAAATCTATTCTGAATCTAAATCCTCGTACACCTAATTTTGGATGCTGGATACGAATCCGAACAAATTTGCGAGGAATACATCCTCAAAATTGAGAACCCAAAACAAACCGCCATTGTCCTAATGGAAACCGACGCTTACCCAAGAAGTCTTTTTTCAGGCTGGGAGTTACGATTCCCAAATACCTGGTCCGGCACGATCACGAGTCATCATCAGTAGAAGCTTCTGAAAAGAACCTAAACTACTTGCTGAAACGTAAAAGCTTTCAAGCATCGAACTACCATTCCGTAATACGTCTAGATACTGTCCAGGTCTGCTAGAAAAAATCCTCAAATCTAAATATTCAAAGGTCTATAATAAGTCCTACACCTACACTTTTTTCTTATGGACGCTATATTGGATTTTTGCATAGAGATTTCAAAAATCTATAATCTTATACATTGATATTATAAAACTATAATGAGAAAAAATTCTAGTAGGTCCTGAAAATGTCAGATTGTCGTTTGTTTTATAGCATTCCTTCAATAAGAATATTGACAGAGAAGTTTCCCATTTTATCGGTATGATCTTGTGATCTGGACATCGGCTGATATTTTAAAACCTCAAATCTCTTGCTTGCTCAACAAATACGTTCCTTATCTCTCATACCTAAACGGATACGCAAACCTTGCATTTTAATAATAATAGATATTGTTGTTATATTCGGTAAATGGGAAGCAATCATTTTTAAGGCTAATGTGAAAATATTATTTTTATTAGTAATGGGTGATTTTTTTGCTAGTATCTTTTTGGCAACACTGTTTTTGACAGATGACGCGTGAATCGTGTCATTGTCAAACTTGTTCAGTTTGGTCTATAATTTAACCATGAATCGACTTACGAACGAACAACGCTTGCAAATTATTGAATTTTACTATCAAAATTCATGCTCGGTTAAGAGAGTGCATCGAGCACTGCTTCCGATTTATGGACAATTTGGTCGGACTACTGAGGAACCTATTCGGAAGCTTGTGACTAAATTTCGAACCCAGTTTACATTATTGGACATTAAATCACCAACACGCAGACGTAGAGTGAGGACTGAAGAAAATATTGCGGCTGAATCCGCCAGTGTTAGTGATGACCGTGAAATGTCGATTCGCCGCCGTTCGCAGCAATTGGGCCTCTGTTACTCCACTGCGTGGAAAATTTTGCGACAGCATTTGGGTGTAAAACCTTATAAGATACAGCTAGTGCAAGAATTGAAGCCACACGACCTCCCACAACGTTTCCAATTTGGTGAATGGGCGCTGGCAAAGTTTGAGGAAGATCCACATTTTTATCGAAAAATTGTGTTCAGCGACGAAGCCCATTTCTGGTTGAATGGGTACGTTAACAAGCAAAATTGCCGCACCTGGAGTGAAGACCAGCCAGAAGCATTGCAAGACCTACCAATGCATTCCGAAAAAAATCACTGTTTGGTGTGGATTATGGGCCGGTGGTGTCATCGGGCCGTACTTCTTCAAAGACGACAATGACCGGAACATAACTGTGAATGGCGAGCGCTACCGTGCGATGATAACAAACTTTTTTTTGCCCAAAATGGAAGAGCTGGACTTGGCGGACATGTGGTTTCAACAAGACGGTGCCATATGCCACACCGCACACGAAACAATGGCCCTATTGAGAGGCGAGTTCGGTGAACAGTTTATCTCACGTTTGGGGCCCGTCAATTGGCCGCCTAGATCTTGAGATTTAACGCCGTTGGACTATTTCTTGTGGTTCCATGTTAAGGTTAATGTCTACAGGGATAAACCAGCAACGATTGACGCACTGGAAGCCAATATTGAAGCCTTTATTCGTGAGATACCGGCCGATATGTTGGAGAGAGTGTGCCAAAATTGGAGCTTGCGCATGGGCCATCAAGCGGAGCCGCGGCCAACATTTACATGAAATAATCTTTAAACATTAAATTATATCGACCGTTCAATCGACTCAAGTAAAAATTTAATCGTTTTTTCAATTTTATTGTGTTATTTTTTAAATCGAATCCTATACCTCTTAAAAAATCACCCGTTAGATATCTAAGGTCTTCGCAGTAACAAGGAATGACATAGACATCCTTGTAATTAGGATTAAAAACGGTATTCATCGGTGTAAGAGACCATGATTGAAAAGCAAAGTTTATGATCGAGGGTAAGATATGAAACGTCCTATTAAAATTCCAATCATGCCATCCTATAGAAGAAAAAAGTGGCAAAGTTAGTGTGAAATCTCAAGTAGCCAGAATAAGCTAGAAAAAACGGATTTGAGAAGATGCATTTTTTTTTCGTATGCCTCCGGAAATACTCTGAATGGCAAAAGTTTCGATGTGATATTGTCTTAGTTACCTAAATGCGCAAGTTTGTTCTAACATTCAACAGACTTCGCAAATCTTATGATTTCCGAGATCCAAATTAAGAGAGTCGAATTTGAAATACGGGCACACCCATTAACTTAAATAGTGACATTATATCGATTTTTTATCGTCCATTAAAAATGTCGCTTTGGAACCCGGTGTCATTCATTTTATGTTCACTTGTAGTAGCTGTGCGTGTTGCATAAATGTCATCACTCTTGATGTGATGTAACCTCTGCTTCAGAGGTGGCACTATTGGAGGCCATTGATAGCTTCTATTGCCAGGTTCTATAATATAGGTTGTAGTATCATTCCTCTACAGGTGACAATGACATATGTAGGATTTTAATGACGCTATGTCGTTTTTTTACGCAATATCCCTGGCAGTATACCCCGCCCCTGTTCTACTCATCTTCATTCACAGCAACGATACATGGTTGCGCTATGGTTCTGCTTGAGCTTTTTCACAATAGAAACAGTGGGACCGCCGTGCCACCAATGCATTCAGTAACAGCTCAGTTCCTGGAACCATCCTAATGAGACTCGTAAATGACCGATATTATTGCCTAGCAATCAAAGTTGGCGCTCGTTGGTGTGTGGCACATGCGTGTGGGAGGGTCACTCAGTCGTCTGCTGAACCATTAACCCTGGCTTCGGAACTTTTTAATGTCCCCTTTGTGCTCTCTGTAAATATAGAATAATGTCCGATGATTCGGTTCAGATGAAATGACTGCCATAAAAAGCGGGTCTGACAATCTACAATGGGCGCTTTCAGATGCATCAGCGTTTATTTGCAGTTCAGTGCCAATTTTAGATCGTGTATATAGAGGTTAGTGAGACATCAAACTGGGGATATTATAATATGAATGGCAAAGTTTGGTGGTGATTTCAGTGATTTTGGCGGATATCAGTAAAACTATTATACAGGGTGGCGCATCGAAAACGAAACAGACGCATTTACTGGCAGAACAGTTTTTTTTTAAAAACGCTCAGGCCCGTGGACTTTGTTTTCGAGGGGGCACAAGTTTGGCAGAAAATTACGTTAGCACGTGCAGCCCCCTAAGCGGGGGTCACACCACCCCCAAAATCTTAAATGGAAAGGGGGGTCGAGTGATACGTTACTTTAAAGGTCTTTCAATTCCCTTTATAATATATATTGCGTGACAATACAAAATTAATTAGCTGCCGTCATGATGAATCAAATATGTCAAAAGCTACAAAATGGAGATTCGTCATTTCCATAGTGACCCCCCTATGATATGGGTATCAAATGAACGGGCTTGACGCGAGGCACACAATAAGCAAAGTGACGCAATTCCTAAATCCTCCCCAAGATGCCGCTTATAATTACCATATTTACCTCTATGATATAAGTCACAAATTAAAGGACTTTATGACAGCGAGACAGCAAGCAACGTCAATCCGACTGGTACTTTCCAAGTTCAAACAACATAACTTTCGATTAAATGTTTTGTAATTTAGGCAGTTGATCCGTGTAGTAAAGATTGTCAAATACAAATAAGATGAATCGAAATACATTGTAGGAGGAAACAATCGGCCAAGTCGTCAGCGCCAAACAATCGGAAAAAAATCATCAAAGGCTGAAATGCCACCAAGGCAGCTCGCCATATCAATTCTCGGTAATACCGCATCTATCTTCCTCGTACTCCGTCGAAGAACGCATGTATATTATGATTATGAATGACAGCATAAAGATAACGCGCTCGTATCCGCCACATTATAAAAAGAAGAAGAAGATGCTCCTTTCATCCGTTGCCATCCACGTCTAATAATATACAGTCTGTATATCTTTTAGTGGGAATAAATAGAGATAAACCGGCATTCCCAACTAATTTTCATAGCCGACTGCGAGTCTCAAAGATCACGCTGGTGAGATAAACAGACGCCATGTCGGAGCATCAGAGCGGTTTCTTGGTTGCATCCATCGGTAACACAAACAGTCGGACTGATGCGTACATGTAAATGGAAACGGTCTATAAACGTGTTGATTGTGTAGTGAACATGATAGGCCGGGGGACTGCATGCCATACCCATACCCGTTTAACAAAAACCGAGTATGTATAGTAAACAACTTGATGCACAGGAAAATGAGCGCCGGCAGGACTTGAACCTACATCTCCTCCATTTCGGGGATGCGACATAACGAATTGGTCTACGGCACCAGCTGCAGACCAAACTTCAGGATAGACTGGTGGAGGCAAATTGTATCCTATCCACGCCACTGCTACTAATGAAGGCGCGCTCATCTGAAAAAAATCGTGTATAGGTAACTATCCTACACGGTGGTACCGTGGTGTGTGCCCACGAGGTGGGGTGGTGCAGTTAGAAAGTGATTGGAGATATCTTACCAATTCGACTGAACGCCGATGGAGCACCAAGAGGTGCGTAGACTGAATTTGCCTCTAGCAGTTGATCCTGAAAGTTGATTGGCAGCTGGTGCTGCTGACTAATTGGTTAGGTCAGTTCCACGAAATGGAGGAGATACAGGTTTGAATCTCTTAGACGCCCAGTTTTCCTATCTCTCTAGTTGTCGTTTACTAAAAATGCTGTTTCTGCTGTACACTATATCTTCACTTGACAGTGGCGGTTAAACATTCCGAGATGGAGGCTGGGCCCGAAAATTGTTTTCATAGTCTACAATTATATAGTACTCTTAATGACCTGCAAAATAAGGTATCACATGACCACATCCCATGTAGAAAACATGTTTCAAGATGGCACCCAGCTGCCATTTACGTATTTGGAACTGCCACTATTGTGCTAAAATAAAGTATTCGTTCATCAGTATTATCCCAAAAGTTTCAGTTTGTTAATTTACAACAAATAAGTTAGAGGGACCTCTTTGAAAGGTACTGTATGCGTTACTGGTTGAACTTTTATTGATAGTAACATATAGTAACTAAAAGAAAGACGTTGTATTATGAAGTGGCTGATCCCAGCAATATTACGCATAGTACAGGTACGATATAATATTCACGTGCTGTTGAAAACATAGGAACTTACTGACATTATGATTTTTGTATTTTAATCATGAGATAATTAATAATCTTAATATTGAAGGTACACAGCTCGACTACATTTTTATAAGGAACCAATTTTGCCAAGATATTTCCAGCAACAGACTAACCTAGTTTTGAATGGAATTATGTGATGAAGATGATTTTGTTTATTCAAACATAATTACAATTGATATTGTCTCTCTCAGAGCAATTTCCCACTCCTCATAGCGGTGCTGGAACTCCGATATTGGAATAGCCTTCAGCTGGTCGGTTACAGCCGTTATAATCTTTTCGACTGACCTAAAATGGAATCCCTTGAGGTGATTTTTCAGCTTCGGGATGAGAAAACAGTTCCAAGGACTCGAGTCAGGCAAATAGGGAGGCTTAGGAGCCACATGAATATTTTTACTGGCCAAAAAACTTGTGTGACCAGGACATTATCGTGGCGCGACACTCAGTTGTGCTTGGTCTGATGAACGTTGGTGTGAGTCAAATTTAACTCTTTCCCGGTCATTCTCTCAACCGAAAATCTGAACGCACAATCGATTGTCTCCCTTCTGAAAATGCCTTAAACCACAGAAAGACCTGGACTGTTGACAAAACACTATCTCCATAGGACTCCTGAAGTTTAGCAAGAGCTTCCATTGCACTGTGTCCAAGTCTAAAGCTAAACGTGCTCGAAATTGATGTCACTCATTTTAAGGACACAACAGGAAAAAATGTTTCACACAAAACCGCTACCGACAACCTAATTACTCGTACGAGTTCAAACTTGTACTCAAGATCGATCACATGTTCCCCTCAAGTGTAATACAGAGATCACGCCTAGTCAGATTTCAATTTAATCAGAATCTTACTAATGCACTTTTTAACGGGCAGGTCGACTTCATTTCTCCAATACAATTTCTTTTCGATGACAAACTTACGTGGGAAGTTAGTCTACTTGACGCCGCTTTTTTTCTACATGATTGCCCCTCATCTTAACCAGATCAGGTCTAGTATAGATTCCGTACAAAAGAAGCTCCTTCATTTGTTTTTGACGTTTTCATCAACCAAGTTTGTACTTTATCATTTATACATGACGTATCTGGGCGCGCGATCGTAGAGATAACGGACCTCATGCATTTCGGATGCACCGTCCAAAAGATAGCATCAAGGTAATGAAGAAGTGAGGCACTAGCTCAAGAAATTCCAAGTGGCTTTCAGAAGACGACACCGTTCTGCTTGTTGCTTAGAGAACACATGATTCAGAAACGTAAGAAGTAATGTATACTTTGTATTTTAGACATGATGAAAGAAAGTAGAAATGTGAATTCTCGGTGTTTCTGGTCTCACTCAAGCTCTGCAGATCGAGAAATGCTGGAAGGTACAAACTTTATTTGTTCATAATGTATCGAGGATACGTAACAATCCGTCGAAAACTTCAATCTCCTGTAACTCGGGGGCAGGTTTTTATGAACTTTTCGTGTTATCTTTTTATCCAGTGTATTGTTACTTTTGTTTGTAATTTGATTTGGAAGCACGGAGAGCATTAGCTAATTTGCCTTTTTTTGTAAATAGGTATATTTAAATGGATGTAATTCCGGGGAGCGCCAGTGAATAATTGATTCTTAAGGTGTCCCAGTAGACAAAAGAAGTTTGGGAACTTCTGGGATAAACAAATGAAACTTGTCGATAAAAAGACAAGAAACACTTCAATGAATTAAGTGACTAGAATCCATTTTTACTTCCCACGCAATACTGGCGAGGAAGCACTGTAATTGAGGAAATGAGACATTGAGGTTTTTGAATGTTGCATGGCATGTACACCATGTTCGTGTATTTGTCTGTTGTTCTTTCCGCTATCCTCAAACTGCCAAACTTGGAAAATACTGCTCGGATTTGGATGAAATCTTCACACAAGGTTACTACTATGCCAAAGACGAAAAAGCTTATAGTTTTTGAAAATCGGTCCAGTTGTGGTAAAAAGGGCGAAGAATAAAAAAAGCGAAAGATCGTCCAAACAGCGCTATTTGGTCTTTTATAGGTTAATGATCATTTTTGAAAAAAAATTAGGGGTAAAAGATTTGAGGGTGGAGGGTTATAGGGCGGTGGGAAAGGTATATCTCAATTCCTTGATGTTAGTATTTTTATCCACACTTCTCGACAAAAGTATATAGACAAATTAATATTGTGCTGTATTTCTTTTTTAGCTTGTTTTATTAATACACCAACCTGTATACATAATTCGTAATAGCATAATACTCACTCATACATATATAAATTCATTGGACTCCCTTCAATAAAAAATTAATTGAAAAAACTGGAACTATGAAGGACAAAAATATATAGATAAAGCAAAACAATTATGGAAAAAAGAAGCAAAGTTCATTGAATTATAGAAAATCAACCATGTTTGAGTTAATATACTAAGTGACATATAAATCCGTACACCCAGTTTAAATGGTTTTATTTTAATAAAAGTTGGTGAATGTATTTATCTTACTGTAAATAACAAGTGAAAAAATTTTCAGCCTTATCAGTTGGACATTCCGGTTTTTATTCTGCTTTTTTTCAATTCACTAACGCTCTAAAAATGAATATTTCAGCCGCAGTAAAGAATCAACGTTGGCGGATTTTGGTTCTTGACATCCTTTACGATCAGTTACGATGCCTAGAGTACGGAGACCTGTACGATTTCGTCAACTTAGTGAGTTTGATAGGGGCCGTATAGTGGGACTTCGGGATGCTGGACTTTCTTTTCGGGCAATTGCAGTTAGAGTGCAAAGAAGTGTAGACACTGTGGTTAGGTGTTGTCAGGCATGGCTTCGAGAAGGCCGTACGCAAAGAGCAAGGGGGAACTGGACGCCGCCGTAGAACAACAGACCGTGAAGATCGCCGCCTAAGATTATTGGCCTTAAGGGACCCTTTCTCCACTACCAGGTCCATTGCAAATGAATGGTTTGCAGAACACGGAAGACCTATTGGCATGCGAAGTGTTTACCGACGAATGAGAAGTTTTGGCTTGTTTTAATACCGGCCACACTGGGTCCTCCCTTTAACTCGAGAACACCGACGTAATCGCCTTGAGTGGTGCAGATAACGGTCACTCTGGGATCAGGAATGGAACAGTATTGTCTTTAGTGACGAGTCTCGATTTTGTTTAGGCATGCACGATGGTCGTGCCAGGGTTAGAAGGCGACGTGGTGAAAGGAGGAATCCACATTTTTTTGTTGAAAGACATGTTCATCACACTGTTGGAGTAATGGTTTGGGGTGCTATAGCTTATGGTTCCAGGTCACCTTTAATCTTCATCAGAGGTAACATGAACGCGCAGCGTTATATCCACGAAGTTCTAGAACCCCATCTTTTACCCTATCTTGACACCCTGGCAGATCCAACTTTCCAACAAGATAATACCCGACCACATGTTGCAAGAGTCACAATAGACTTCTTTCAACATAATGATGTCACATTGTTCCCATGGCCACCAAGATCTCCCGACTTATCCCCAATTGAGCACGTGTGGGATATGATGGGTAGGAGATTGCTCAATTTGCAACGTCCTCCTCAGACTCTAGAAGCACTTCGAGAGGAGTTGGTGATTGCCTGGAATGAGATACCACAGGAGGACATTGACCACCTGATCAGAAGCATGCCTAGGCGCGTTGGAGAATGCGTAGCACATCAGGGTGCATCCACACATTATTAAAGGTCAAAGAGCTTTAAAGCAGTGCCATTATTTTGAAATTTTTATCATTTACTTATTATGCTTCATTAAGTACTTATACAAAATTTTATTAAAATAAAACCATTTAAACTGGGTGTTCGGATTTATATGTCACTTAGTGTATTATGTAGCATAACCGCCTGGCATCGTCTCTGCATAGATTGTAGAAGTTTCTTGATATAAGATTCATCAATCTGTCTCCACTTTTGCTCTAAAGTGGCAAAAAGTTCATCCTTGTTTAAATAATTTTTCTCTCGTATTTGCTTATCTAAGCATTCCTATAGATTTTCATTGGGGTTTATATCGGGAGACTGTGAAGGCCATTTGAGAACTGGTATTTTTTCATCTAGAAAGAATTTCTTTGCGAGATTTGAAGTATGCTTTCGGGTCATTATCTTGCTGGAAGATTGATCTTAAGGGCATATTGTCTTCCATATAGGGTAACATGACATGC